TCCCTCAGTTTCAAAAAATAAAAAAAGTCTAAGGATGCAAGAAGGAGATTTTAAAGAATATCAGAAATGTGATTTCCGCCGAAACCGGTTTGGCTCAGTGGATAGAGCGTTGGTCTGTGAACTGAAAGGTCCCAGGTTCGATTCCGGTCAAGGTTATGTACATTGGTTGTGGGCACATTTCCAATTGGGGTGTGCAGGAGGCGGCTGGTCGATGATTCTCTCTCATTGATGTTTCTAGCTCTCTGTCCCTCTCCCTTCCTCTCTGTGAAAATAAAATATATTTTAAAAAAATGTGATTTCCTAAAATATTTGATTTTTTAGCTTAGTTTTATTTTTTTGGATATATCTTTTCCCCCCATTGATTTTTTTTTTTTTTTTTTTTTTTTTTTTTAGAGAGTGGAAGGGAGGCTAGGGAGAGATGTAGAAAGAGGAGAAAGAGAAACATAGATGTGAGAGAAATACATCAATTAGTTGCCTCCTACATGCACCCCAACCCAGGTGGGGAACAAACCCCCAACTCAGGCAAATGCCCTTGACTAGGAATTGAACCCCAGACCCTTCAGTGCATAGAATGATGCTTTTAAGTATTTACTTAAATGAAAGGACAGCCTATGACACAAAAACCTGTATGTGAATGTTTACAGTAGCTTTATTTGTACTCACCAAAAACTGGAAACTGAATGTTCAACTTAGAATGGTCAAACCAACTGTGATACATTCATACAATGAATACTATTCAACCTAAAAGGGAACTATTCATATATGCAATGACATAAATGAATCTCACATGCATTATGGTAAGTGAAAGAAACCAAACTCAAAAGGCTACTCACTGAGCCATGCTGATATTTTATTTATTTTTATATTTTATTGATTTTTTACTGTGAGGAAGGGAGAGGGACAGAGAGCCAGAAACATCGATGAGAGATAAACATCAACCAGCCACCTCCTGCACATCACCCACTGGGGATGTGCCCAAAACCAATACACATACCATATTTTCCGGCGTATAAGATGATCCCTAATTTTACAGTTAAAACAGGCTTAGGCCTATATTCGCTGTATAAGACTACCCCCCACTTCCGAGGCAACAATGTCTTCCCAAATCTGAAAATCCACACTCACCTGGAAGCTATAATACACAACCTCTAAGAATATTAAGGATGTCTCCTGCCACAATATTCTGAATGTCCAAGTTAATAGACCGCCTCTCTAACTCAGCCAATCCAAGCAGGCTTTTTATGCATGCAAATTATACATGTTCTGTACCCGAAGCTACACTGTGTTCTAGTAAAAAGCCTGCTCAGATTGGCCAGAGTGAGATTGTTTTTAAGAGTTAGGTCCCCTGCCCTAACTGGTTTGGCTCAGTGGCTAGAGCGTCGGCCTGGGGACTGAAAGGTCCCAGGTTCGATTCTGGTCAAGGGCATGTACCTAGGCTGTGGGCACATCCCTAATAGGAGGTGTGCAGGAGGCAGCTGAGAAATATTTCTCTCTCATCGATGTTTCTAACTCTCTCCCTTCCTCTCTCTCTCTCTCTTAAAAAAAAAAAAAAAAATCAATGAAATATATTAAAAAAAAAAAAAAAAAAGAGTTAGGTCCCTGGTCTTGGAAAAGCACCCTGGCTTGACCTTGATCTTGCCATAGATGCATCAGTTTTCTCAGCTGTCAATGAGGATAACAGGACCAGGTTAGCTCAGTGAGTAGTTGTGAGGCATGACTGTTAATGAAAATAATTGTAAAACACTTTGGCAAGTGTGATATAAATGCTAATAGTTCTTTATTGGGATGTTGTGAAAATTAGCAACATCCTGTTTGTTAGAGGCCTTAAATTCCTTTTGAGAAAGGTGATGTATTTTTATAAATATAGTTCAGGATTTGGGAAAAGATATTGCTACCCCAATTTCTAGAATGTAACAATTATGGATTCATAATAAAACAATTTTTTATTAAAGAGAATAATTCCAAAATTTTTTTTATAATATCACTTCGGAGGATTCAAATCACTAGAATTTTTACCATCTTGGTTTTTTGGTTCGTCATGCCAGTTATAATACTGAATGTTTAAAGGACTAGTGGGTTGATTTATTAACTACTAGGGGCCCCATGTATGAAATTTATGCTTTTTTTGGGGGGGGGGCGTTGTTCTTAGCCCAGCATGCACCCTCTCCAATCTTGGATTCCTCTCACAATCCAGGACTGCTGGCTCCCAACTGCTCGCCTGCCTGCCTTCCTGATTGCCCCTAACCACTTCTGCCTACCAGCCTGATCACTCCCTAACCACTTCCCTGACAGCCTGATTGATGCCTAATTGCTCCTCTGCCAGCCTGTTTGCCCCTAACTTCCCTCCCCTGCTGGCCTGGTCTCCCCTAGCTGCTCTCCCCTGCAGGCCTGGTCCCTGGTCGCCCCCAACTTCCCTCCTCTGTCGGCCTGGTCACCCCTAACTGCTCTCCCCTACAGGCTTGATTGCCCCCAACTGCCTTCTCTTGCAGGCCTGGTCCCTCCCAACTGCCCTCCCCTGCTGGCCTAACTGCCTATAACTGCTCTTCCTTGCAGATTGGTCCCTCCAAACTGCCCTCCCCTGCTGGCCATCTTGTGTCCACATGGGGGTAGTCATCTTTGACCACATGGGGCAGCCATCTTATGTGTTGGAGTGATGGTCAATTTGCATAATACTCTTTTATTAGATAGGATAGAGGCCTGGTGCATGGGTGGGGGCCAGGTCGTTTGCCCTGAAGGGTGTCCCGGATCAGGGTGAGGGTTCCTTTGGGGCATTGGGTGGCCTAGGCAAGGGGCCTGTGGTGGTTTGCAGGCCGGCCACGCCCCGCAATGACCTAAGTGGAGGCCCTGGTATCTGGGATTTATTTATCTTCTATAATTGAGACTTTGTAGCCTTGAATGGAGCCAAGTCTCATTCTCGCTCCTTGGCCACAGCCATTTTTGTTGGGATTTATTTATCTTCTATAATTGAAACTTTGTAGTCTTAAGCGGAGGCCAAAGCAGGCCAGGGCTGTGGAAACTTGGCTTCTTCCATGGGGGGTGGGGGGCAAATCAAGCCTCCTTCTCTCTCCATGGCTGCAGCCATTTTTGTTGATATTTATCTTCTTTTTTTTAACCCTTTGCACTCCGCTGTCCCCTCTCAGGGGACATCGGAATTCTAGCATATCACTCGGATGTCCCCTCTCAGGGGACGTTGCAGTTTATTAGTGATTACGGGGAATTGAGTTAATTCAACGCACGTGTCCGCCGCAAAGTAGCATCGAGTAGCTGGTAGCCAATGTCCAGAATGGTTTGGAGTGCAAAGGGTTAAATATATTTTATTGATTTTTTACAGAGAGGAGGAGAGGGGGTGGATAGAGAGCTAGAAACATCGATGAGAGAGTAACATTGATCAGCTGCCTCTTGCACACTGCCTACCAGGGATGTGCCCACAACCAATGTACATGCCCTAGACCGGAATTGAACCAGAGACCTTTCATTCCGCAGACCGACACTCTACCACTGAGCCAAACCGGTTTCGGTAATATTTATCTTCTATAATTAAAACTTTGTAGCCTTAAACAGAGGCCAAGGCAGACCAGGGCAGGCAGAAAGCTTGGCTTCCTCCATTGCGGAGAAAACCCAAGCCTCCTGCTCCCTCCACGGCCACAGCCATATTGGCTGGCTTAATTTGCATACTTGCTCCTGATTGGCTGGTGGTCATGACTGTAGCAGACGTATGGTCAATTTATATATCACTCTTTTATTAGATAGTATATTTAAAGCATCACAGCCAATCAGTAGAACCACTAACAAAAAAAGCATTGAAAAGGGCTTTTTATATTTTAGGCGACACCATATAGACACCTAGGTGATGGTTGTAATTAGGCTTTGACAAGGGACATGGTGCCATTACAAGCAAAGCTAGCACTTCTTGTTCCATACCTGAGTCTAAATATAGAATGGGTGATGTGGTGTACTTAAAAAATGCTTGATATTTGAATCTCATGAACTAAATTTTTCTTAGCTTCTAAAGTGGCATTAACAGAGAAAAATTGGGATGTGATTCTTTTGATGTATAAAACTGATAAAAAACTGAAATGGTTAAGCAGTAGTCTGCTGGCATGCTCAGAACTTGAACTTGTTCAGTTGAGATCTTATGCATTGTATTTTTTATTTTTTTTAAATAATATTTTTATTGATTTTAGAGAGGAAGGGAGAGGGAGAGAGTGATAGAAACATATCAAGCCCATAACCTGGGCATGTGCCCTGACCAGGAATCAAACCGTGACTTCCTGGTTCATAGGTCAATGCTCAACCAGTGGGCCACACCTGCTGGGCTGTATTCTATTTTTTTTTTAAATACATATTTTTATTGATTTCAGGAAGGGAGACAGAGAGAGAGATAGAAACATCAATGATGAGAGAGAACCATTGATTGGCTGCCTTCTGCATGCAGGGCCCCCTCCAGGGATCAGGCTCGGGACCTGGGCATGTGGCCTTGACTGGAATCCAACCTGGGACCCTTCAGTCTGCAGGCTGATGCTCTATCCACTGAGCCAAACTGGCTAGGGCTGTATTGTATTTTCAATAGGGACCTGTGTATTGCTGATTTTAGAACAAAGTGACATGAAGTTCTTAGCTTTACATAGGTTGGAATTGAATTTTTTTTCTGGAATTTAAGTTCTTTCACAATCCATTATCTTTTTGTATCAAGGACAAGTAAAAGTCTTAGGTTTCTTTTCCTCTTTGATGGGAAGACTATACTTGCTTTGCAGTACCGGGCATTATTTGCTTTTATTTTGCATTTGGTGTAAAATAAAGGGGTCCCTGAATGGCCTGCTTCCATAATAAAGACAGTTGAGTAAGCTTCCTTTTTGGAGGTGCATTACTTCTATGGTTGTATATTTAGACTTGACATTACTTACTTCCATCATCTGCCATGTTTATTGTGTACCAGCTTCAGCTGTTTTATGCTCATACCTAAAGATTCATTACATATATATATATATATATATATATATATATATATATATATATATTTTTTTTTTTACGTCATCCTATTGCGCAGGGGCCATGCTAATCTTTTCTGTATCATGCTAATTTTAGTATATTTGCTGGCTGAACTCATATTTTGATTTTAGTTCCTTTGGATTTGGTTTGTAGTTTTCTTGTATGCATTCTACTTAACATTTTTCTTCCCATATTAGGTGTTTCACAAAACTCGTATCTTAAAAAATATTTTTAGGAATGTATTGTTTGTGCTAGGCACCCTTATCTTCTCCCTCCCAACTTTATTAAAGTATAACTGAAAAAATAGTAAGATATTTAAAGTGTATAACACGATTTTATGCACCCATATCTATTTTTGTTTTACTTATTAATCAGTAGCCAAGATTTCTCTGGAAGCTTGCAGATAGCAGTACTATCAAGTCAAAAATACCTTTAGTACTATATGGTAAAAGTACTTTCCACCATTTCCTAACAATGTGGAATATATGTAATATTTGCTCTTGTGTATTTCTTCTATGACTACTAATTAATGCCCTTTGAAAATTTCCTTCTTTGGTTATATCCTTTTTTTAATTGACTTGTAAAAGTTCTTTGTATTTTTGTGGCCATGAACTCTTCTTCGTAAATGTTGTAAAGATTCTTTAAGACTGTGAATAAGAAGTGAGAAAGCAGGTGATTGCATCAACTACTTATTCAACGTGGTATTTGTTTAAAATGTTTGCCTTGGTTATTTGAGCAATAGTAAGCTGCTTCTTTTGTCTCCCTCCTTCCAAAGATGCATAGAAAAGCTCCTTCTGTCTGAAGTAAAGTGTTGGCTCTGTATTGGTTATAATTTGCTTTTCTGGCTGGCAAAGCCTTCTTTTTGTTTTCTGTCTTCTGACAGATTATAGGATTGTGGGGAAACAGTGTCCAGGGCTTTTTCAGGAACTGTGCCATTTTATCTGCAGGAGAAGCCATTGGCTTTGGCACAAGAAGAGAATTGGCTCTTGTTTAAAATTGCCAAATCATACTTGATTCACAGGTTTGCCGTCTCATTTTGTATGTGTTTGAAACTTTTTTAGGATGTTGGCTTTTAGTATTTCTACCATGTATACCTCATCAGTGTGAGAAATTAACAACTTGTTCCTTCTCATCAACTCCCCACCCTGACACCCACAATCCAAACATCCCAAACCATAGCAAATGATGAAACAGTCATTTGAGGATTAGGGAAAAATACACCACACAGATGTTACCATTTCCCTTATGGTGACTTTGACCTTTAATTCTAGTTTATCAGTTAAACCCATGGTCTGCAAACTGCAGCTCACGAGCCACATGCTGCTCTTTGGCTCCTAGAGTGTGGCTTTTCCATAAAAGACCACGGCCTGGGCGAGTCTATTTTAAAGAAGTGGCGTTAGAAAAAGTTTAAGTTTAAAAAGTTTGGCTCTCAAAAGAAATTTCAGCCATTGTACTGTTGATATTTGGCTTTGTTGACTAATGAGTTAAATCCTTCGTCTTTCCAACGTAGGCTTGAATTATTTAGGTGTGTAAATGATTTGCCAACCAACATGTCTCTTTATGCAGGCTTTTCAAAGGCAAGAGTGAAAGTTAATTATCAGAGTACTTCTCTTTCCTAACTTGGAAACTTACTTTGTATAAGGCAGAGTACATTTAGGAAATTTAGATTTACTCATTTACCCTTGACACATTCTTTTTATTTTATTTAAAAAAAATTTTTTTTTTTTTTTTAGCCGAGACCGGTTTGGCTCGGTGGATAGAGCGTTTGGACTGAGGGGTCCCAGGTTCGATTCCGGTCAAGGGCATGTACCTTGTTTGTGGGCACATCCCCAGTAGGGGGCGTGCAGGAAGCAGCTGATAGATGTTTCTAACTCTCTATCCCTCTCCCTTTCTCTCTGTAAAAAAGCAATAAAATATATTAAAAAAATGTTTTTCTTTTAATTGATTTTTGTTTTTAGAGAAAGAGGAAGGGAGAGGTAGAAAGAAACATTGATGAGAAACATTGATTGGCTGCCTCCTGCATGCCCCAACTGGGGATTGAGCCTGCAACCTCAGGCATCTGACCTGACTGTAATCAAACAATGACCTCTTGTTTCCTGGGTTAATGCTCAACCACTGAACCACACCGGCTGGACAGTCACACTTTTTTAGGTGGGTGTAGCATAATTTATTCTGATTTTAAGTGAGAATTTTTATCATCATGTAAGCAGTCTTAACTCCAATTGTATGTTACCTTCAAACTTTTAATATTGTGTAAAATTGATTTTGAAATTTAGCCAACTATATATTTTAGCAAATCTTCCCCACCTAGCCTTAGCTGGTTTTGCTCAGTGCCTCTGCCTGTGAACTGAAAGGTCCCAGGTTCGATTTTGGCCAAGGGCACATGCTCAGGTTGTGGGCTCAATCCCTAGTATGGGGCATGCAGGAGGCAGCCGATTAATGATTTTCTCATCATGTTTCTATCTCTCTCCCTCTCTCCCTTCCTCTCTGAAATCAATAAAAATGTTTTTTAAAAAATCTTTCCCACCCAATAAGGCCTTATATCTTTATTTTCTATAGATAACGGGTGTAGGTTATTTTCATTTAGATTAAGGTAGGGGAGATAGTTAATAGAATAAGCCAGTTTGAATAAGCTGGTTTATCTAGTGTGAATTATTACATGTATGTACATGTAATTTTTTTCCTCCCTCTGCCAGAAATGCTTCTCCTGTCCTGCCTCAAACTGGCAGTCTTACAAAAGTTGAGGTTTGGTTCTCATGTGCATTCTTTTTTATTTTATTATTTTTAAAAATATATTTTTATTGATTTTAAGCAGGCGTCTTCAAACTACGGCCCGCGGGCCACATGCGGCCCGCAGAGGAGTCTGATCCGGCCCGCCAGGTTTTTTGGGCAGTGAGCGCAGCTGAGGTGTTACAGTAGGAATTAGTAGTTCATATAGTCCGGCCCTCCAGCTCTCTGAGGGACCGTGATCTGGTCCCCACTTTAAAAAGTTTGAGGACCCCTGATTTTAAGGAAGGGAGAGGGAGAGAGAAACATCAATAATGAGAATCATTGATTTGCATTTCCTAAACTGGGGATCAAGCCTGAAATCTGGGTGTGTGCCCTTGACCAGAATCGAACCTGGGACTCTTTGGTCCAAAGGCCACCACTCTATCCACTGAACCAAATTGGCCAGGCATTATTATTATTATTATTATTATTATTTATTATTTATTGATTTCAGAGAAAAAGAGAGAGGGAGAGAGAGAGAGAAACATCAATGGTGAGAATCACTGAATGGCTGCCTTCTGCACGCGCCCCTCAAGCCTGCAATCTGGGCATGTGGCCTTGGCTGGAATCGAACCTGGACCTTTCTGTCAGCAGACAGAGGCTCTATCCACTGAGTCAAACTGGCTAGGGCATCACGTGCACTCTTTGTTATAATTTGACCTTTTTTTTTTTTTTTTTTTTTAACTGCTGTGTCTCCTCTTACTAAGTGCCTTAAAGACAGGGACTAGCTTTTTCTTCTCCTCCCTCCTCTTCCTCCTCTTCTTCTTAGTCGTCATCTGCTTCATCTCCTTTTTCTGTGTCATCTTCATCTTGGTTGTTTTCGTTTCCTATCTTTGGGGTCTACTAGAGTTCCTGCTATATAGGAATGAAATAAATATGTTGTGAGTGAATGAATGAAAAACTTGAATTCTTTAAAGACACTATGAATGGATTTTACAGTTCCCTCTAGTGTCTGAAAGAGAAAGTGCAGCCAGTTTAAAAAACTTAAAGGACGCCTTGCTATATTGAAATAATAGTTCAAAGCATTGCCTTTTTTTTTTTTCTAAATATATTTTATTGATTTTTTACAGAGAGGAAGAGAGAGGGATAGAGAGTTAGGAACATCGATGAGAGAAAAACATTGATCAGCTGCTCTTGCGCATCCCCCACTGGGGATGTGCCCGCAACCAGGATACATGCCCTTGACTGGAATTGAACCTGGGACCCTTCAGTCCGCAGACCGATGCTCTATCCACTGAGCCAAACCGGTTTCAGCAAAGCATTGCCTTTTTAATTTTAATTTTTCTAAACTGAAAAGTTTGTTTTTTAAATTGATTTTAGAAATAGGAAGGGAGATGGGGAGAGAGAAACATCAATGATGATAGAGAATCATTAATAGGCTGCCTCCTATATGGCCCTCACCTGGAATTGAGCATGCAACCCATGCATGTGCCCTGACTAGGAATTGAACCATGACCTCCTGGGATGCCCAACTACTGAGCATCACTAGCTGGGCAGCATTAACTTAAAATTTTTTTTTAACAATTGTGGGTTTTCAGGTTTTTATGGGAGAAATGCCTTTTTAATAGTGTTCAGCTTCTTTATAGATCATTATTATGGTTTTGTCTTTGTTATGCAGAGCTACTAAAAACTATATTTATTTGATTGGAGTCAATGAAGTGTCAAAGGCACCTGTTTTTGCTTTTGTGTTTTGTTTTGTTTTTTTGTTAATTCTCACCCGAGGATGTTTTTCCATTGATTTTTAGGGAGAGTGGAAGAGAGATGGAAAGACAGAGAGAAACATCAATATGAGACAAACACATCAATTGGTTGCCTGCTGCATGAGCCGTGACCTGGGTTCAGTCCAGGGAGGAGCCTGCAACCAAAATATGTGCCCTTTGGTCCTCAGGCTGACACTCTATCCACTGAGCCAAACCTGGTAGGGCAGTTTTTTGTTTTGTTTTGTTTTGTTTTCTTGGTATAAATTTCATTAGGGAGCCCTGGCCAGTTTGTTCAGTGATTAGAGTGTATCCTGTGGTTGGATTCCCTCTCCCTCCTTCTCTCCCTCCTTTTCTCCTCCCCCTCCCCCTCTCCCTCTTCCTTTTAACATCTTTTACTGATTATAAAAATAAGACAACCTGGCCGGTATGGCTCGGTGGTTAGTGTTGACTTAGGAACCAGGAGATCACAGTTCAATTCTGGTCAGGGCACATGCCCAGATTTCTAGCTCAATCCCCAGTGTGGGACATGCAGGAGGCAGGCCATCAATGATTCTCTCTCATCATTGATGTTTCTATCTCTTTCTCCTTTCCTCACTGAAATCAATAAAAAAATACATCTTTAAATAAATAAATAAAAATAAGACATATTCAATATAGAAAGTTTAAAAACTATAAAAATAATCTATAATTGTATTAGTCAACAAATCTATTAAAATTATAAAAATGCATATTTTTTATTTTTTAAAAGATCAAATCAAATATTAAAATTTTTTCTCCTTTTTTCTTCCCTTCCCCTCCTATCTTTCTCTCAGTGGTAACAACTGTTGACTTATTAGTGTATGTATACACATCTATATATCTTCTTGGACCCTATAGACATATACCAGGTATACTGGTTAATAATGCGGATTTTTTTCTTCTTCAAAAGATGGAGTTACACATATGTTGATATATATGTGATTTGATATGTATGCTGTTTTGTTGTATTGGCAACCAGCTTCAAAACTTCATATGTCAGCCCTAAGGTTTGGCTCAGTGGATAGAGCGTCAGGTTGCGGACTGAAGAGTCCCAGATTCGATTCTGGCCAAAGGCACATGCCTTGGTTGTGGGCTCAATCCCCAGTGGGGGGCGTGCAGGAGGCAGCTTATCAATGGTTCCTTCTCATCATTGATGTTTCTCTCTCTCTCCCTTCCTTGCTGAAATCAATAAAAATATATTAAAAAAATAAAAGGCTACTAAATTTGAAGTATTTTTGTATTATTATTATTGTAGTACTTGGGGAACTAAAGGGGGATTATAGTGATTTACATATATAATATTAGTTGCCAGAACTCTGGATGAAAATGATCATATTGGTGGTAATAGCTGGCTTTTCCCAATACCCATTTCTCTTGTATCTTAAGTGAGCCCCACTATGCCTAAGAAAATATCCTACAATCCTTAGCATATTTTATTCCAGCAGTGTTATGTCCCTAACGTTGGCATTTGTGATTGATGTATTGATGCAACCTGCCTGCTATGTCGTGGCCTGGCAATTGCTGAGGGTTTTTCACATATTAGGTGGATGGCTTGAACAAGTCTTAAGAGGTTTGTTTCCTGGTTTTACTCAAGAGAGTGGTTAGCTTGGATTTAATTGAATGTAGATGTCTTGTGTCTGAACTGGGTCAACTGTGTGTGTTTGTGGTGTTTCTTTTTTGCAGATGATTTAATATATTCCCTCTTCTCCCACCAACATACCTTCCAGATACATACCTTCCCAATATGCCCCGCACCCCTTAATTGATTGATGTGTGTAGCTGACCTAATAAGCAAACCTAAATCTATACACGGTTATGATTAGAATGAGAAAAGAAGGGCGAGGCATATAGACCTGGGGAGCATTTTTTTTTTTTTTTTTTTTTTACTGTCGTGTGTCACCAGGTGGCTGTTGCTGTGGAAGTCTGAGGCACTCTAGGGTACCGCCTGGGTGGTTAGTGGGCAGGGGAGCGGGAGAAGAGGTGGGGCATCACTTGGCCCAGCTATGGGATACTACACTCCGGGCTTTGAGGTGGGGGTCCTGGGAGATGGGGGCAGCTCTAACAAAGAGGAGCCGGGCCCGGGCCGGGGCCGCAGGTAGTTGGCCTATCCCCGGCAGCTGACCTCCCAGTGGGCCTCCCCAGTTGGCTGCTTTGCGAGTCGCTCTTCTGGCTCCCTGGCTCGCCATTGGTTGTGAGGACGGGAGGGGGCTCTTGGAGGGCCGGGATGGAGTTGAGGGGGCGGGGCTGGCTTCCGGCGGCGAAGCGGGACTAGCGGTCTCAGACTGGGGGAGGGGGTGCCGGCGCACCTCGGAGTGCTGCGCTCGGAGCGCCAGGCACCCGGAGCAGCCGCCCCCTCCCCCGCCAAGACCGCTGGAAGCCCCTTCTCTTTCATCCTCTCGGGCGGGGCGTCCCCGCCCGGAGAGTTGAGCTACCCCAGGCGGGAGGGGCGGAGCCGGAGCCCCACCGAGCGCTGCAGAGCGAACCTCACCTCCCTTCTAGGGTTCAAGGTGTGTGTGTGTGTGTGTGTGTGTGTGTGTGTGTGTGTGTGTGTGTGTGTGTGTGCGCGCGCGCGCGCGTGCGCGCGCGCTTTTACTAACGCAATCCTGACTTCTGCCGACTTAACCTTGAGAAGAAATGGAATGGGAAGTAAGAGCCCCTCATCTCTTTTTACTGATGTCGATGTCGGTCGCGTAGTAAAATAATAGAGGAAAAAAGAGGAGCCTTTCTAATGTGGCATCTGACGCAGTGAACCGCAAAAAAAGAAAGAGAAAAAGCTTAGAGTGTTTTTGGAACTGTACTGCATCCCTGTCTATTAAAAGCTGTCTTCATTTTCCTTCTCGGGACTACCTTAATCAGCAAAAACTGTTTGAAAAGGCAGAAGGTGCTCGTGGGAAGAGGGAGAGCCCCCGACAAATGGTGGTTAAAGGAAATCCTGTTAGTTGTTAGTGATTGATTAACTCTGCTAAAGTCTCTTCCCGAGTACATTTTCCCCGGTCTTGTGTAGTACTAAACCCTGTTGGAGACTCCTAACTAGAGGGAGCAAACTTACCTTGCGGTACTGAAACTTATCTGTTTCTCCACCAGTCTGCTTCTTATATCCATAAGTTCTCAGAGGAATTAGTTTTGGCTATCAAAAACCAAAAAATAGGGCTGGCTTTAGCTCAGCGGTTCCTTCGAGTACAAAAACCAAAAAATACCCAGATGAATTTTAATTCGTTTATTTTTTTAAAGCCCCTTCCTCCCAACTTTATGAATTTTAACGATTGTAGTATTACAATTTAAATTATATTTTTCTCTTTTGAGTTCTTTTGCTTCTACAACTTACGAGTCTCTTCTTTCTGAAGGATGCAGCACTCAGCCTCAGCCAAAATCAGGAATCCTTTATAGATTTTTAATGAAGAAGAAAATGATCAGTTGATGATAGAAAACCTCAAATTTTTTATAGAAGCAAAGGGTGTGAATTTGTGTGTCGTCTGCATGTCTGTGTTGAGTGGCAATTTTATGGTGAACTTGTTTTAACTGGGCATTTTTCACCAAAGGTGTTTAGACCAGATTTATGTTAATGTTGATTAGCTAGAATGTCTGAAGGGATAAATATCAATTTTTTGTCAGCATAAAAAATTTTTTTTAAAAGATCGAATTGCCTTGATTAAACAGTTCATGAATTGGACAGCATCTCATTTAGCAACTAGAAGGACATTCCTGGATAAATATTAATTGAAGTGATTGGGAGTTTATTCTTGAAATTTAGGTTTAATTTTCAGAGACTGTTCTAACTGGAGTTTAGTGTTGACAGAATTGATAAGCTGCAGGTATTTTACAGTTTTGCTAGATTAATGTTTTTTTTTGCATGGAAGTATTGAATCTCTAACCAATAAGGAGCAGTTTAGAAAGCAAGTACAGTATTTTAAAGAATAGGGATGATGAGATAGGAAACTATCTCGTGAAAACTTATTAGGGCCAAAACTGGTTTGGCTCAGTGGATAGAGCGTCAGCCTGCGGACTGAAAGATCCCGGGTTCGATTCCGGTCAAGGGCATGTACCTTGGTTGCAGGCATATCCCCAGTAGGGGGTGTGCAAAAGGCAGCTGATCGATGATTCTCTCTCATCGATGTTTCTAACTCTCTATCCCTCTCTCTTCCTCTCTATAAAAAATCAATAAAGTATATTTTAAACTTCTTGCTCTTTAGGGCAAGAGCTATTTTTTTAAAAAAAATATATTTTATTGATTTTGTACAGAGAGGAAGGGAGAGAGATACAGAGTTAGAAACATCGATGAGAGAGAGTCATCGATCAGCCGCCCCTTGCACACCCCCTTCCGGGGATATGCCCGCAACCAAGGTACATGCCCTTGACCGGAATCGAACCCGGGACCTTTCAGTCCCCAAGCCGACGCTCTATCCACTGAGCCAAACCGGTCCCGGCGATAAAGTATATTTAAAAAAAAACTTATTAGGGATCAGAAAACTTATACTTAAAAAAAAATTCTCAAACTTAGTATAGAATTGTGCAAAAAAAATAGATTCACAGTATACCTTTGTTGGATTTGGGGTTTTTAACTTATTACCAATTTATCCCTTCAAACTCCATGAATAATATTTAAATTGAAAGGCAAAGAAGAGGGGATCCAAGATGGCTGCGCCCAGGTGAACACCTAGCCGCAGCCGCACACAACAATTTCAATAAAATACAACTAAAATATAAAACGGACATTGCCCAGAACTACAGGAAGGTTGACTGACTGGAAATTCTACAGCGAGAAGCAAGGAGAAAACCAGAAGGAGGCGCGGAGGAGCTGGAAAAGCCCAAGGTACGGAGACGTGGCGCGCGGAGAGGACGGAGCCGGAGAGGAGGGAGGCCGAGTGCCTGGCGGGCGTTCCTGAGCGGAAAGGAGAGAAAAGCTCCGACTGTGCTGGGCCCCCAACTGCTCTGAACCCCGGTTCTGGGCCAGACCCCGGGGACTCAGGCTCAGCCATAGGGAGCCGGGCTGTAAGGCGGAACCCCGGGGAGAGGCGAAAGGAGGTCCCGGAGGCGCGCACACTGCGCGCAGAGAAGGGACGGTCGGCTGTGCAGCGGGATTGCCCTGACGGGAAGGAGACTGGGGCTCCAGACTGCTCTGAACGCCACCTCCAACTCCATTTCCAACTGAACTGAACCCCAATACCGGGCTCATTAGGGGAGAGCATAGACTGTTTGGCAGCAGGCGAAAATCGAGGGCACCTTTCTCTCAGAGGCGCTGGCAGCAGCGAGCACTGAAGGACCCGCATAGGGCGGGGCTGACAGAAGCCAAAGCTGCAGGCTCCACCCTGAAACCCCGTCCCATCTGTAACTGCGAAATGCGACAACAAAATAGATCACAAACGAAAGAAATGGAGGACAAAAAGCGTCTGGATATAGAGTTCAAATCTACGCTTATAAGTTTTTTCAAGAATTTCTTAGAAAAGATGGATAAGGGCTACGAGGATATGAAAAGAGATCAACTAGAATTAATAAGGAGTCAACAAGAAATGATAAGGGATCAACAAGAAATAAAGAATACATTGTCTGAAATAAAAAATATTTTACTGAGTCCTAAAAACAGAAGGGAAGATCGCAAGAATCAAGTCAAAGATTTGGAACATAAAGAGCCAGAAGACACTCCTCCACAGAAGCTAGAAGGCAAGAGAATCCAGAAAATTGAAGATAATGTAAGAAACCTCTGGGACAACTTCAAGCGAACCAACATCAGAATTATGGGGGTCCCAGAAGATGAGAGAGAGCAAGATATCGAAAACATACTGAAAGAAATAGTGACAGAAAACTTCCCCTACCTGGTGAAAGAATTAGACTTACAAGTCCAGGAAGCGCACAGAACTCCAAACAAAAGGAATCCAAAGAGGACCACACCGAGACACATCATTATTAAAATTCCAAGAGCAAAAGACAAAGAGAGAATATTAAAAGAAGCAAGAGCAAAGAAGGTAGTAACCTACAAAGGAGCACCTATACGATTGTCAGCTGACTTCTCAACAGAAACCATGCAGGCCAGAAGGGAATGGCAAGAAATATTCAAGGTGATGAATAGCAAGAACCTACAGCCAAAAATAATCTACCCAGCAAAGCTATCACTCAGAATCGAAGGCCAGATAAAGAGCTTCACTAATAAAAAAAAGCTAAAGGAGTTCATCACCACCAAACCAGAATTATATGAATTGCTGAAGGGGGTTCTTTCAGAAGAGAAAGTAAACAAAGATAAAAATTATGAACAACAAATACATAACTATCAACAAGTGAATCTAAAAACCAAGGAAATTAAAAAAATCTGATGAACAATATTAACTGTTGAATATAATAGAATCAGAGGTATGGAAGGGGAGTGAACTGACGATTCTTGGGGTAAAGGGGAGAGGGGGGCGTGGGAAGAGACTGAACATAAACTGTGCACCTATGGATGAGGACAATGGGGAGAGGGGAAAGGGCAGAGGGTGGGATGGGAACCTGGTGGAGGAGAGCAATGGTGGGTGGGGGGAAAGGAACATTTGTAATAATATGAACAATAAAAACTTATTAAAAAAAAAAAAAAAAAAAAAAAAAAAAAAAAAAAAAAAAAAAAAAAAAAAAAAGAAAGGCAAAGAAGATCTCTTACCTAATGTTACTGAGAATGAACCTTTAAAATTCACTGATTGAATCTTTGACAGCCAGCCTGGTACAAAATGAAATACAATTTGGATAAGCTATAGCAAGCTGAGGAAGTGACAAAAACCACTTGGTGGCCATATTAAAGCATATACATTTGCTTCTACCAGAAAACAGGTTGCCATCCTATTTGATATTTATCCTAGGTGGTTTTTTCTTTGTCTACCCATAGGTGATGTTATAATGCACTTAGATCACTTCTTTAAAAAAAAAAAATTATTGCTTTGAGAGAGAGATGAAGGGCGAGAGAATGAGAGAGATAGACAGATACATGGATTTGTTGTCCCACTTATTTATGCATTCATTGGTTGATTCTTGTATGTGCCCTGACCCCGGATAAACCCACAACCTTGATGTATCAGGATGACACTATAACCAACTGGATGAACTACCTGACCAAGGCTACTCACCTACTTTTTATATATTTTATTGATTTTGTACAGAGAGGAAGGGAGAGAGAAACATCGATGAGAGAGAGAGTGTCATCGATCAGCTGCCTCTTGCACACCCCCTACTGGGGATATGCCTGCAACCAAGGTACATGCCCTTGAACCGGAATCGAACCCGGGACCCTTCAGTCCCCAAGCCTACGCTCTACCCATTGAGCCAAACCGGTCTCGGCTCACCTACTTTTTAAATACTTGTTTTCTTGGCTAACTTTTATAATCAGTATTTTGCATGGTGCAGTGATTTCCCCAAAGAAATTTTCCCAAGAGACAAAAGGCTATGTATAGAGCTAATAGGTGTATCTACACTGATCTTCAAATATCACTTAAGGGAGATGGAAATCCGCAGATTTGGTCCTCTGCAAGGAAACATGAAGCTGTGACTC